CCGGCGTCGTAAATATTGGCAAGTTTCAACGTAATGGAATGCTTATCAGGGCGAAGTACGGTTTAGTTCCATCCACTGGAATGGTTGCGGTGAAGACCAGTAATGAACCATCATTAAACGGACGGCAAGCGAGGTGCTGGTGAGACTACCTCACATCAGTCACTCGCAGTCCATGAGTACGGACGAGGAAAACTTCGAGTACGGAAACGAGTGGAAAAATTCAGTGAGTGCTAAACGTCGCACACCATTTGCTACGTGGCCAGTGCGAACGTTGAACACACCTCGACGGACCACACTGGTCGCAGAAGAATTGAGTCAGATGTTAATACGGAGAGCTGCACTACACAATAAACGCTGTGATGGCCGGAAACTACAGGTTCTCTTTCACAGGGAATACGACAGAAGACGCTTCTCACAGAGGTAGGGGTGGTCTGCACTGGCAGTCAGTGGAAAATCAGATGGAGCTCTTATACACTGGAGCGTTGCATCTGTCCAGGTCATTATGGAAAGGTCCAAACTCAATCAAACGACTTGACGACGTCACGGTAGTTGGTATTTATACCCTTGTCGAACCTGCGGCAAAGGTAGCATGGGTAACTTTTGAAGCCACGATTGGTCTGTTGTTGAGGCAGTGCCAAATCCATGATATCTTGATTGTTCTGGTGACTTCAGTGCGAAGGTAAGAATCAAAAATAGGCGCATAAATGTCTTGAATTACAGGCAACTGGGAAGACGAAGGATAAAGGTAAGATGCATGATCTACGCATCAACTGAGAATTGGATTTGAAATGTTTTATTCACCAGAAATCTTCGAAAAGGCCTAGAAACTGTTGGAGTGTGCAGAAGTGGTGAATGTTGCGGCGATCATGAACTGGTCATGACAAAAGTTAAATCCAAGCATCGGTCTTTGATTAACAGCCAAAATTCTACAGCAAAGTTTGACGTGAACAAGTTCCAAAGTTCTATCCCAAGCATGTAATCTTTCTCTCCTTTTGTGAAAACGTATTCAGACCACGTATTGATTACACAAGTGATAAGTCAGAGAAAGAAGTTTGGAACATATACACAGAAGCAGTAGAAGAAACGACAGAAGAACAACTGGGACGAAAGAAAAGGCGAAAGATACCGTAGGTAAAATCTGAAACGGTTGCAAGGAAAAAGCAAGTTTTCCAAGATTAATAACAGTCGTAGTTTTGGAAGAGGAGTACAGAACAAAATTAAAAGGTTATGGAAATATAAGCTACTTTTCCGAAAGAGGCAGGCTGAAATAATGGAAGATGCGGCTAAGAAAAATCACCAGAACGTCATGTTATGGAAAGTCCCTTGTTACCTCAACTAAATCTGTTGTGGTAGAGTCATAACATGATGCCTGATCTGAAGTCATCGAGAAGTGGGGGATAAAATTTGAATCGCTACTTAATCCTGATCTGATTGGGGGCATCCACCAAATGACATTATACCTGAACCTAAGTCATTTGGTGGTGATACTGGACCGCCAATTCTTCAAGAACGGACTGAAACAATATGCCAAGTGAAGAATGGCAGAGCTGCAGAAAATGACGGAATACAACCAGAGCTAATTATGAAGTTTTGATTGAACAGAGGGGTGGCATTATTGAATCTCTTTGGAATGGCATGGCAACGAGAAGAGGTGCTGAATGATTGGACGAATGGCATTGCGGTCTCAATATTCAAGAAAGTGTGTTGCTTGGAATTCAGCCTACTGTCCATTCTTGCTAAGTGTTCATACGCGTTATGGTGAACAGGGTTAGACGACACGTTGAGATCATAGATGAAGAACGGTCTAGCTTCGGGACAGGCCGAGAATGTTTCGACCAGATATTCACAATGAGACAGCTAATGGCAAAAAGAGAGAGAGAATTCAAATCCAAGTTCTTTGCAGCGTTTGCCGGTTTCACTAGAGCGTTTGACTGATCCTGAAGAAATGCCTTATGGAAAATCGGTGAACAGTATGTAATGCCGAAGAAAATTATTCACATAATTTAAAAGACGTATACTCTTTCATTTAATTGCAGGATCAGCAAGTTGGAGCAATTGTTGAAAGTTTGGAGTAGGGCAAGTAGAGTGGAATTTCCGGTGCCGTTTTAAGTTTTTGATTGGGTGCTCCAGCTGGCACTAAAGAATAAAGGTGCCACGGTAAGAGTGGGCAGCATCTGCAAAAGCTCTTTTCCATTTACAGATGTTGTGTTCATTGCTGACAACTAGGCAAAGTGTGGAGTGGAAGAGGAACTGATGGCCACTACGGGACTTAAGGCGTAACTCAGAAAAATATCTGCTTGAAACTCATCACGCATATGTTATATCCGTCCTTCCATCACTTCAGCAGGTGGAGGGAGTTTTTAGGGCTGAGTGACTTCTATCTATGGCTCTCCTTTTGTCCGTGCCTCTGACGCATCTGCGCCTGTACAAGCTAAGAAAACTGCGTCCTTCTCAGAATCTATCCAGGTTTCCAGATCCAGCAAGGCTCCTCATCCAAACAAGCGATTAGTTCGCCAAACTTCTGGAGGACTCTTCACTACCATTAGATACAAACTTTCATGCGGATCCTGCTCCGGATTAGACAATGGTTGCGCACTCGTCAATACGTCTTAATTTATTTTATCTGCAAATTAAAATATCTTACGCAGTTATTTCAATAAATTATGCATGAAATTTAGGTTCAGATCAGTTCTTCGTTCTGTTTTGAACGTTTTTGGAAGATATATAATATACTTTAATAAGTACTATGAGCACTTTCAAAAATGAATTATTTGACATTTTGCACGCTAGAACAGACAGCCTAACGAATAAACAAGAGAAGAAAACTCATGCTATCAAGGGACAGACGCATCTGACCATTGGCAAACGGAGACGTCGCCAATGAAGAACGCGACGCTATATTCCACAAGAAAATGCATATGAATTTATCAAAGATAAATGATATTTATGATGAATGAAAATGAATTTACTACAAATCTAACTTATACAACGTTAAATCCTTAAGATAATTCCATTTGGGCCGCCTGTGCTTATTTAAGCTGCATAGGTTCAACTTACAACTAACTAATTAACTTTAATAGTCCAGTAGTATAAAAATAATGCTTGAGATATTAGACACGCGGGCTATGCTGAATTCTGTCCATATTTTCATGCATGTAAAAGTGAGTTCGCCTGAATCATCGAAATCTGCCCTAGCTTATAAACCTGCAACCATGTAGATCAAGCAAATGCAAATTTATGCAAGTTAGTGCATCAAAGCAATTATGGAACTCGTTAGCTAACTTCAAATTATGTCTGTAATACAACAGAAGAACCTCCGATATATCGATTTGAATTGAATTTGCTATGAGAAGTTTCTATATGGAAATGGAAAGAAATTTGAGAGAACTGAAACTGACAAGGCAGGCTGTACTGATTAAATAGCACGTAAGGGACTAAGGGGGGGATCGACTCCAAGTCAACTTGATTATATCATCGACGAGGCTTTAAAATGTCTCACAGTTCAACCCTGGAGCTTGTACCAATTGCAGAGGATATCGGGTCTATTTGGAGAGCCGCCGGCAGTTACCCACTGCGAATCAAACCTCATTGCAGGCTCATACGCCATGCAGACGAACGAACGAACGAATCATCGAACGAGCCACTGGGCTAATGAACGAACGAACGAATGAACAGCGAGCAAACAAGACTAACAGACCAATCGGTGAGCGAATAAACCAGCGGACGAATGAACGAACCAACGAACGAGTGAGCGAACTAGCGTATGAACCAGTAAGCGCAAGAACCGGCGAACGAGTGAATCAGCGAACGAGCAAACAAGCGAATGAATGCAGAAATCCAGGAGTGCAAGAATATAAGAAAGAATGACTGAAGGAATGAATGAATGAATGAAAGATTGATTAGTTCAATGCTTGATTGATCGAGCGACCATGTAAATGAATGAACGAACGAAAAAACCATTCAATGACTGAACGTTAGAGCAACGGATTAAAGTAACTGAAATTAAATCATTCAAATTTCAATGCTAATTGAACTCAACAAGAGCTTCCAATATTATTTCTCTGAAATTTCAAAGCATGCTGAAAAACCTGGTGGTTGTTTGAGGTTGTGGCCGTTGTTTCCGTGCTTGATAATAAATTATTGTGGCAGGTCATGATCTCAATTTGTAAGTATTGCTCTAACCAAAATCAGCTTAATGAAAGAGTTAAGGTTTG